CCCCCAAAAAAACGGCCGTTATTTACAGGTGGCCGTTGTTTAGAGGTTTGATTCAGTACACAAATCTAATCTCATGTAATACAGTAGAGCGTCGTTTATCCGAATCAATTGGGGACTGGGGTTGTTCGGATAACTTATTTTTCGGATAACCGGTTATGCGCGAAAAAATATATTAACCTATCCCGTGTTGAAATTTTTCTCCGTTGAGTGTCGCTTCGCGTTGAATTTTCGTCGATGTTGAGCTTAACGTAAACTTTTTAAAATAATAATCGTGGCTATTGTATCATTAAAAATGATTTCTTTATGTTTTACAAACGAAATAAATACATTGAAAAATATAAAAACAAATAAAAATTATACTTTAGGCCGACTGGAATTCTTTCGGATAACCGACGTTTCGGATAACATACTTTCGGAAAAACGACGCTCTACTGTATAACAATTTTAATAGCGAAGTTCCGGCCGAAGTTTTTTCATCTCTAAAACGTGAACGTCGAACGTCGAGCTTCGATATCTTGTAAGCGGCGCTCGACGTTCGACGTTCACGTTTCAGAGATGAAAACTTCGGCCGCAACTTCGCTAAATAATTAACCGCGCCGTCAAACGTCTAAGTTAAAAGAAAGTATTGGGAAATTTTTGACCAGAGATGCCATCTTGAACGATGAAGGAAAATCGAGGGTGGGGGAATAAAATCGAAATAGCCAGTTTATTCAGCAAGAATTTTTTCGTAGTAAGAGATTTATAAGATATTCTAACATTATATGAATTATTTATTATTGTCATTCGTCGAAACCTGTGAAAGGTTATCGAATAATCGTCTTAAACTTGGGCTATAGTTTTGATGTATAAGACAAATAAATAAATAAAATATTTTATTATTCTCGCACAAATACTGTAAATAGTACTGTTTAATTTAAAAATTTTCCGGATTTTCTTGCTGCTGAATTTAAAATTTATTATGAAAATTCGGAGTGTTATATTACAGTGTGTGTGTGTGTACAAGAGGTAATATAAGACATCCACAGCTTCATATTAAACGATAAATTTAAGTAGTAATATATAATTGCTTATATATAAAACATAAATAATTTATCAGTCCCTTATTACATGTTATATTATGCGGCTATTCGCAATATTCCTGTAGTATTAAATCGTTAAAAAATCTATAATATTTAATAATATTCAGATAGGAATTTACGTGAAAATTCTGATAAAATCGTATATATTTGCCTAGTTTTAGATAGTGTGGACCAAAAGTCAGGTAATTTAGATGTTAGCTCGGTTAACAGATTTTTAAGTCACCTTATATGTATAGTATAAACAAAGATCATCTAAAAAATAAGCAAATAACGTAAAATGTAGCCATGTTAATTAACTTTTGGGCCACCCTATACATTCAAAAGGATCAGGCCCTAACCCAGGCCAAAATTTTCCTACGATTTTTATATATTAATTTTTAAAATAACCCATAACATCGATAAAAAAAAAGTATGAAGATGGCATCGTCATTTCGCCTCCATATTATATTCCGCGCGTCACTTAACAATACCGAAAAGACGTACGGAAGTTATTCTAAATTTTTTAAAATGATTAATGATAAATTACATAACATAAATTAAAGTTAAAACTATTAAAACACGCTTAAGAATTCCAAAAATTCGTTTCGATAGGATAAAAAAAATGCATTTTTAAACACAAAAAAAAGAGAAGAAAATCTTACCTGCCACCCATGCCAAAATCATTCCTTCAACAATACTAGGAGGAGAGCCACGTTTTGTAGTGATGTCATCTCTGATTTTGATTTTCCTCTCCTCCGTACCGAACCAATCACTTACAACGGCTTCGATCCTTTGTGAAGCTAAAATCAGCAAAACTAAGTGGAAGAAAGTAAAAAGAAAAACAGGAAAAATACATTAATGTAAATGTAAATAAAAGATAAAAACACAAGGGGAAGAAAAAACAAAAAAATACACTCAACTCACACAAGAAAGTGATATAAGATGCGGAGTGACAAATGAACTTTATGAATGGACGTCTCAAGATGCGGCCATAATAGGAATGCGGTGATAAGATATACGCTGCAGAATATAGTGGAAAAAGTGCTCCTATTCTTATAATTTCTAGTGTCTGAAGGACAATATTCTTCCTACGGAATCCTGGTAATCCTTCGTACCATATAGAAGCCAATAGCTGTTGTACGTTGGGATGAGCGCAAAACTATTCGCCATATTAAAAAAAGTTCTGTCATTCCTCCATAATTTTTATTATTTTTTTCATAAATAAAATTATAATATTTTTAAAAATATAGCCTATATACATTTTTATTTATAATTTTTTATACGTATATTCGCATAATTTCTTAATTACTTCAACTAGAGAAGAACAGTTTTAAAAAACTGTCTAAGACGGAACCTGGTTAAAACGGAAATCTGTCTAAAGGAGGTGAAATTCTCAAATCTTAATTTTACTGTATTTAATTATTATTGTTATTTATTATTGATATTTTTAAATAATAATAATTATTATTAAATACAACAGAACCTGTTTTTGTAAACCTTTATCTTTGTCTATCAGGCCAGTAATATTTATGCAGTCAAACCTCTTAACAATAGCCACTAACGGAGACATAAAAATAGACCATTGTTCGAACATTTTTTTTTTATGAATTTTTATCCATAAAAAGAGGATTCCTATTAAGAAATGGTCGCTATTAGGAGATGGCCATTATTAAAGGTTCGACTATACATAATCGGGTGAATGTAAGCTTTTAAGTATATAATTAATTATTTTAAATAAAAAAAACACTATTCAGTAAAAAGACCCGTCTAAAACGAAGTAGAACCTGCCTAAATAGAACACAACACCACAATACACACCTAACACAGCACCCAATACTCAATTCACACTCAACAATAGCACCCAATACTCAATTCACACTCAACAACAGGACCCAATACTCAATTCACACTCAACAATAGCACCCAATACTCAATACATGCACAACATACAGCACCCAATACTCAATACACGCACAACATACAGCACCCAATACTCAATACACGCACAACATACAGCATCCAATACTCAATACACTCACAACATATAGCATCCAATACTCAATACACTCACAACATATAGCACCCAATACTCAATACACGCACAACATACAGCACCCAATACTCAACACACTCACAACATACAGCACACATAATACATCACAAAAGACCTAAGAAATTTTAATTATTAATTAAATTGGGCACGAAAAAGTATAATTTTGCATCCCTGAACCCGAAAGGAATGCTAATTTTTATGCAAATAACCCATAAAATCATTATATTAAAATATAATTAAAATAAATTAGGACCAAATTTTACATATATAATTTACTTAAATTACCTTTTTTTGTTTGTATCTAATGGCAAGTTTCAATCGACTTAAATGCATTCTATCGCCATGTTCGAAAGCGGGACCGAAAGGATCGTAATTTAACAGAACTTCTAATTCGTAAGAGCTTCTAGTATGATCCAACAGGGCAGTGGCAAAATCTTGACATTTCTTCCTTAATTCCTGTTAATAAACATTCAAATAAATAAAGAAAAAATGGAGGATAGAATTAGTCAAGTTTAGAAATACTTTCACTAATTTATTATTGTGAGAGCGCGTGCTACTTTCACTACTTTCACGTGAGATTTGGAAAATGGTCATTTAGTAAATGCCTTAGGAAAAGCTACATTTATCGTACATTAACTAGGAAAATCCTCGATTCATCAGGCTGTCACTTCAAACAAGACTTGTTTCTTCAGCATCACTACGTCCTTTAATTACACATCCCACTTCGTACACCACACTACGTCGATATGTCTCGTGTTATTACCGGTTTCTTCTTCTTTCCTTAAATATTTTCGGGTTATTTCTGCGTAACTGTGGTCCTTTACGGTTGACTTTCCTTACTGTCCTTTACAGTTTTATAAAGGAAAAACATTTAAAAATGTCTTGAGTAAGTGTAAAATCGCAGGAAGGATTTGCACATTGTATAAACAAGCTGCAGCTTAGGGCCTTACATTTTTGAATGTACTTAGTACAGGAAAGGGCCTATTATATATTAAAGTTAGGGTCACAATTCTAAGTCCGGTCTTGATACAAAAACAAATAATAAATTCATTTGTCAAAATATTCAAATACTCTATTATTAAGTCTTTATTACTTAAAAATTAATCGGTGAAAGGATTTAGGGGTTAGTTAATCAGTATGGTTAGACTATATTTATGCAGGTTTCTAGAGAGTTAATATGAAAACTTTGGTGACGATCGACGGACAGACATACAAACATTCTATTACACATATATTGTATATACAGATATCAAATTTTAAACGAGAGATCTATACAGTTACTTCTATATATTCCTTTACTGATTATTAATAACTTTTAATTTATTTTTCTCGTCTGTATGTCTGCCCGTAAGAGTTCTTAGAAACTGTAAAAGTAGAGTCAATTTAGTGTTTTTTTTTTTTTTTTATAGATTANACTTCTAATTCGTAAGAGCTTCTAGTATGATCCAACAGGGCAGTGGCAAAATCTTGACATTTCTTCCTTAATTCCTGTTAATAAACATTCAAATAAATAAAGAAAAAATGGAGGATAGAATTAGTCAAGTTTAGAAATACTTTCACTAATTTATTATTGTGAGAGCGCGTGCTACTTTCACTACTTTCACGTGAGATTTGGAAAATGGTCATTTAGTAAATGCCTTAGGAAAAGCTACATTTATCGTACATTAACTAGGATAATCCTCGATTCATCAGGCTGTCACTTCAAACAAGACTTGTTTCTTCAGCATCACTACGTCCTTTAATTACACATCCCACTTCGTACACCACACTACGTCGATATGTCTCGTGTTATTACCGGTTTCTTCTTCTTTCCTTAAATATTTTCGGGTTATTTCTGTGTAACTGTGGTCCTTTACGGTTGACTTTCCTTACTGTCCTTTACAGTTTTATAAAGGAAAAACATTTAAAAATGTCTTGAGAAAGTGTAAAATCGCAGGAAGGATTTGCACATTGTATAAACAAGCTGCAGCTTAGGGCCTTACATTTTTGAATGTACTTAGTACAGGAAAGGGCCTATTATATATTAAAGTTAGGATCACAATTCTAAGTCCGGTCTTGATACAAAAACAAATAATAAATTCATTTGTCAAAATATTCAAATACTCTATTATTAAGTCTTTATTACTTAAAAATTAATCGGTGAAAGGATTTAGGGGTTAGTTAATCAGTATGGTTAGACTATATTTATGCAGGTTTCTAGAGAGTTAATATGAAAACTTTGGTGACGATCGACGGACAGACATACAAACATTCTATTACACATATATTGTATATACAGATATCAAATTTTAAACGAGAGATCTATACAGTTACTTCTATATATTCCTTTACTGATTATTAATAACTTTTAATTTATTTTTCTCGTCTGTATGTCTGCCCGTAAGAGTTCTTAGAAACTGTAAAAGTAGAGTCAATTTAGTGTTTTTTTTTTTTTTTAATAGATTATTAAACTAATTTTAGAGGGTTTTTTTAATATAAAATAATATTTTAAGTTTATTCTTGTGGTTTGTTTTACACCAACTTCATTAATCTTTTTATCGATTTACTGATAAAAGAATTTCATAATAAAAATAAAATACCATTAAATTTCATAAAACTTTATCAAACTATTATCAATTTTTCTGTTATCTATAAAATTTTTTAGTAATATTTTCCTGTGTTTTTTAATAGATAAAAACATTTCGGGGCGTAAAAATGTGTTAATAAAATTACATTTTTTTTAAAAATAAATATAGATATATTTTTTTTATTATTAAATAAAGCTTGAAGAACATTTTCCCCCTCTTACTTCCTTCATATAGATTAGAAAAAATTAAATTTTTCTAGAATATAAACGAATTACACGTGAGTTTGGTTTTGACAAGTATGAACTTCTCCGGAAATATAAAAATAGGCCATAAAAAATAATTTGTTTTTTTTTTCCTCCTTTCTATAATCAAATAATTTTGAAAATTTTTACGATCTCTTATTTCAGAAACTGTATAAATTTCAATTCAGTTCTATAAAAACATATCCAGAAATGGAAACCTCTATAAATATGTATCAATATATAAAAATTTCTGTGTTTTTGTATTTTGTGTGTTAATATTTTCGTGTTTTCAAAACTTGGCGGTTTTCATGCTTATTTTCGTGGGTTTATAGCTTCAAATCGATATTTTTCATTAAAATTTACACTTTAAATGTCTTCAAATCGAATTTTTCAAGAAAATTCACATGTTGAATCTCTTCAAATCGATATTTTTCATGAAAATTTACACCTTAAAAGTCTTCAAATCGACATTTTTCATGAAAATTCACACGTTGAACGTCTTCAAATCGATATTTATCATGAAAATTTACACCTTAAAAGTCTTCAAATCGATATTTTTCATGAAAATTTACATGTTAAATGCCTTCAAATCAATAATTTTTATGAAAATTTTCAGTTTTACATCTTCAAATTGTTATATTTTTGTAATTAAATTTTTATAATATTCCCTATGATTTTCATAAAAATATAGATAAAAAATCATTAAAAAATAGCTTAAAATAAAAAGATTTTCCATAATTTTTCTCATGTTAACATATTTTATGTTAAAAATATAAAAAAAATCAGAAACTTACTTGATATTCGCTTTTAAATTCATGTTCCATGAAACTAAGTCTCCTGAGTTCCCAACTTAACTCGAAAGCAGTCAAGATAGGGTCTTTACTAGACAGAGCAATAAGGGACGGAGCTGATAATGCCCTGTAAGCATTAATTCGTGATCTGGAATGACGTAAGCAATCTTCTGATATGGATTGCACGCAATCGTCGCATCCACATCGCACTTCATGAGGAATGGGTAAAATAGATCCTCTATCCAAAAGGATCTTCAATATTTCATAATTATCTCGATGAGCGGCAAGAATTAAAGGCGTTATATCGGGGGTAAAAGTTGCTGTATCCCTGTCTATCGCTTCCCAACTCTAGAATTAAAAATGGTAATAATGGTAATCACATCATAAGTATGCTAAATGGGTTCAAACAAGTAATTTATATTAGTCAATTGCAATAAAATCTGTGTAAACCGGACTCTCACGGTATCCAATTCAACGAAACCTGTTCAAAGCGGAACCTGAATAAAAAGGAAACCTGTATAAACAAAACTTGAATAAAAAGAAAACCTGCCTAAACGGAAAAATGCTTCGAAACGGAGCGATTTTCTGTGTTAAAAACGAACCTGTTAAAAACGGAAACCTGTCAAATCGGGAAAGATATACGGTGCGATTTTTTCTTTCTGTTTAGAAGATTTCCGTTTTGAACAGGTTTTTTTTTATTAAGCATAGAAAATCTCTTTGTTCCAAAAAATTAATTCTCATTTAGGCAGGTTTTCCGTTTTATTCAGGTTTCTGTATTTGTTTATGTATTAGAATTAATTTATGAGATGTAGTTAAGTTTTACAGTCAAAACCTCCGAACAACGACCACTGACGGATACAGTACATAAAAAATATGGTCGTTGTTAAGAGGTGAACGTTATTTCGAAATTATTACGTACGCATTTTTTGTTTAAAAGACGAAAGTTCCCAAAAAAGTGGCCGCTATTTAGAGGTGGACGTTGTTAAGAAGTTCTACTATATAAAATAGTCAATAACCTGGAAACCGTCGTAAAGCGAACCGTAGCATTTTTCTTTAATTTTCGTGGCTTAAATAGAGGTTATGCACCCGGAAATAACGCCTTTTTACTGAATAATACTAAACGAAATATTACACACCATTTCGTGTGTAATATTATGGCTTAAACTAGTCGTATAAGCGGGTTTAAGCGAATGGTCGTATAGCGGGGGTTTACTATATTTGATGTGAAATTACCTTACACATTACTTATATCGGTCGTAAAGCGGAGTATGAACTTCTATTGAGTTTTCTAGTGTATAATTTTATTTTATTTCTTTATAAGACAAATTATTTGTATAAAAAAGGTAATTTATTTAACTAGATTCCGCTTAAAATAAAACGTTTATAACACTTTATACGTGCACGCCCGTCTGTTCAGCTTGATTACGTTAATGAGCATAATGGAATAAGTAATCCGATACGATTATTAGTTTACTAATTTACGTCTATATTTATAATTATTAACAACGTGTGACGAATGAATTGCTTTTATAACCCGTTACGAAAATGAAACGTTGGATAAGACTTGAGAATTTGTTCACGTCTAACCATAAATTAATTATACAAAGTGGCATTAATTTTACCAATACAGAATTACAAGACAGAATTATTGCTCTTCAATTTTAAAAAATTCTAAACCTATAAATTCGTACTGTCGTCGGTCCGTCCGTCTGTCTTTCCTTATACTCGAAAACAGAGTTATAGTGATTAAAAAATATGCTGTTTAGAGGTAAACCTACTGCTCCAGGAACGAATCCGGCGCTCGAAAAAAAACCAGGAATTTCTATTCTGTTTGGGCACTATCCCTAGTGCCAGATTAACAGTGGACCAGTCCTAACACTTGCGTATTTAAGGCTTTTTAATTATACCCGTTATGGGTTGGATGTACAGTACAGTTCAAATCGATATTTATCAATACCCGTTATGGGTTGGATGTACAGTACAGTACAGTCGACCCCCTATAACACTATTGATAATTCCGTTTTATATGAATTCCATGTTGTACGAGTCACTTAGATTTTACAAATACGTGAGCCGTTCACAGCCCGGCACACCTATTTGTAAAATCTAATTGACTCATACAACATGGAATTCATATAAAACGGAATTATCAACAGTGTTATAGGGGGTCGACTGTAATTAAAAATGTACTCTACGTACACACAGGAAGGAACAGTAAAAAATTGCATCTGTATATATTGTTTTTGTGTGTTTAGACAGTTAAGTTTAGATTATATACGTAAGGTTTGTTACCTAAAATAATTAAAGATCTATAGCCTATAAAGCCTTAACTTTAAGGCTAGTCTTTACAAGTACCGCGAAAGTACGCGTTGAAGGTTACCTAAAGGTTTGGTGTTCCTTTGTGTCCTATAAACACCAAACACATGACACAGTTATTCTCGTGTTTATCTAAACAAGAAACTTATGTATTTGTTTATGTATCGTCCTGTAAGACACAAGGATCTATATTCTAGTGTCTTTTAAATATGTTTGTTTTTATTATTCCTGTATTCTACAAATAAATACAAGTTAAAAAAGTATTTTCTGTATGCTACAGACACAAGAAAAGTCTTCATTATATATCTCATGTAAATATGTTCCGATGTTTGTAAACACAGGAACATACAAATATACAGAAGATGTATTATACGTTCGTGTATATGTTCATGCATTTGTGTATGTTGGTGCAATATATAATGCAAGCTTATCCTTTAGAAGGGGAAATTTATGAATTTGGCCAGTGGCCATATTTTAGGGACAAACAAATTATAAAAGAATGAATGTAAAGAGCTGGAAAAAACAGCGCTATTCCTTACTAAACATAGTACTTTCTAAAGCAACATAAGGTCTAACAAAGTAAATATCCCTATTGTTTATAGCACTGTTACTTGCTACTTCATTCGAATTAAATTAAATCCAAGCAACGTTTTCGTACAAAACTAGTTACACTCAAATAGCTAATAGCATTACTCCGTACACGAAACAGAGCATACGCAGGAAGAAACACAAGTAGGGCAGTTGGGAGTGAAATGGATCAAGTGATGAAGAGGCTTACGTTAGTTTTAAGCTAGGAAATTAATTATAAATTTTGTAGGCAGACGGCACTTCTTCGTGGAGGTTTCTAGAATTAGTATAACTAATTAATTTCCTAGCTGCTTATCTCGAAACTAATGTGAACCATTTTACCCCTTGACCCATTTCACTTTCAATTATCCTAAGCAACATTATGAAGAAACTTAAATAAACATTTAAACGAACAGAAGTAACGAAAAGTGAATCTGTTTATCCCCTGAAAATAAAGATCCTACTGGAAACCCAGAGGAATCCTCTGAGAATAATGATCCTACTGACAACCCAGAGGAACCTCCTGAGTATTGAGAACCCCTATAGGAATTCCTGAGAATAGGGAATCTGCTTATCCTGCTGAGAATAGGGAAGGAAACGATTTAACCAAAAGTCTTCTATTAGAAAAAAAACCGTCAGTAAGTTCATTAAGAAACTCCGAGCCAGGGAGTCACAATGGGGACTACAAAAGCCAGTGACTTTACTTTCCTTCAGAGATAAAAGGTATATTGCATTTACACTATATAACAGGGCAGAATCCATAAACAAAATGACCATAGCTAGGAACTTAAATGAGGTTTGTAGAGCTATTCATCACCTGTATCGATACAGCTTCCTCCTGGTATTGAACACGCTTGTTTCAGATGGTTGCGGTGACCAAAACGATGAAAATAATTGATCTCAATGGCTTCGTAAGGCTACTTTGGAGCCAAATAAATTTTTGAATCCAACAGTACACTACTCTTAAAAGATCAAATTAAATTAATAACAAAAAACGAAAATAACAGAAAAAGCAGGAAGGTTTGGTTTCATTTTTATATCAAAGAAGAGCTTTTAATTGTAAATTTACTCAATTAAAGTATTAAAAAATGAACTATGTACAAAACAGACTATATTCGATGTGTTTTCATTAAGTTTGAAGAGGCCTTGCTCATCTCTTTGAGCTGATGAAACCATTGTTATAGTTATTGTGTAGTAGAACTTTATTTATGGGGTCTTATCGTCATATACTAGATCATCTAGTGACTTTATCATCTTACTACACAAAGGCTTTTATCATCATCTAGATAGAGGAACTTTGGACAATTTTAGTATAAATTTTAAGTTAAATTATATGATAGAATAGAGGGATTGCTGACTAATGAAACAAGAAAAGAATAGTGGAAAAAGTAGAAGAGACATTTTACAATTCAATTCTTGAAATGTCTTAAGGCTGGTTTCCACTTAACTGGAACGTATGTCAGAAACATAAAACAGAAACGGATTGATGTCACTTCGTATTCTGACGTTGTCATTTATAAGTTTTGGAAGAAAATCTAGAATAGAAAACACTAGCTTTTCCTTTTCTGTTAGTATCTTCCATAGTGTTTTGACCAATAGAAGAAACATAATGGTGATGACATAGTAGTGACGTTTTATGTCTTGTTGAATAAGGAAAATGGCGGACTATTTGAAAAGAGTGAAACCAAGCTAACAATTCGAATTGTTTTTAGAAGAGGACAAAAAATATGATGTCAACTGGCCAACGGGCTAGCCACATGGAATTTCGGGTTTTCTTCACGTTTGTAACACCTAAATAGGTGTAGTTTCCAATAAAAGTTTTTCAAGAAGGCCGTCCTCGTCTGTTCGCCTACGTATCTCTTTGTTACCAATTTCGTCTTTAAAAAACAAATATGAAAAAGAAGGAAGCATAAGGTACTGTCTAAGTTCAATCTACTCTCTAAACACGAAATTTATATTTATTTCGTATCATGTTTTTACATAAAAGACAAAATTTTGAAATCCCCCAAATGCCTGAGACCTTATGCAAATGATCCTGCTCTATCTTATCCTGATGGAGATAATCAAGTTGTGAAGAATTGCGTGTTCATAATCATTAAAAATGATTAGTAAGAGAAAATTAATAAACTTTTCTTTAAAAATTGTAGATTATTATCTTTTTTAATTTATAAAGAAATTATTTAAATAATGTTGTAAAACAATTTTAAATTAATAAGATAATTGAAATTTCTTAAAAAGTTAGTTTGTACGAATGTAACTGAATATATCTGAAACTAAGATCAAGCCTTTATTTATAATAATACCCGTGAAAAAATCTGTATCATTAAAGAATAATTTTTGATACAGAAAATGGCATGATGCAATTAAAATCCGATCTTCATTTTGATAAATAAAAACAATATCTAAATAAAATCACAGCAGAATATATAAGAACGAAACAAAAACGGAACGTCAGCACAGACATTATAGCAGAACCAGAACGAAACATCTTCAGAACAGAATCAAAACACAGCAACACAGAACGGAACCAGAACAGAACCAGACTCTTGTCATCAGAAGAGAATCAGAACAGAGTAACACAGAACGGAACCAGAACAGAACCAGACTCTTGTCATCAGAAGAGAATCAGAACAGAGTAACACAGAACAGAACCAGAACGAAACATCATCAGAAGAGAATCAAAACACAGCAACACAGAACAGAACCAGAACAGAACCAGACTCTTGTCATCAGAAGAGAATCAGAACAGAGCAACACAGAACAGAACGTAACATCATCAGAACAGAACCAGAATGAAGCAACACAACATAGAACAGAATCAGAACAGAGCAACACAGAACAGAACCAGAACGAAACATCATCAGAAGAGAATCAGAACAGAGCAACACAGAACAGAACCAGAATGAAGCAACACAACACAGAACAGAAGCAGAACAGAGCAACACAGAACAGAACCAGAACGAAACATCATCAGAAGAGAATCAGAACAGAATGAAGCAACACAGAACGGAACCAGAATGAAGCAACACAACACAGAACAGAAGCAGAACAGAGCAACACAGAACAGAACCAGAATGAAGCAATACCAGAACAGAATTAGAACGAAATAACACAACAGAACCAGAACGATACAATATCAAAACAAAATTAGTAGGGATCAATATTAGGTAAAAAACAGGACTAGAGAAACAGAGAAATAATATCTGAACACAGAACATAACAAAATCGGAATATTACATAAAATTTACTCGTGTTAAAAAATACGAAAAAAAGAAAAGTTTATATTTAACGAGTAAGAGGAATGCAAAACAGCGAAAAATCAGAAAAACAACCGATTAAACTTAATATTATTCAAATATATAACTAATCTCGTTGTAAAATATGTATTTCCTAAAATTTAAGCACAAAATAACAAAAATAAAACTATAAAAAATTAAATTTTAAAATTAAATTTTTAGGTAAATTAAATTCGAAACATTAATCACTTAGTAACATATTTTTAAAAAATATGTTTAATATTTACCTAAAACAGAATATGATTTAAATTAAAGGAGCGTGTTGATGATTAATGGAAAGTATTATTCGATGAAACAGAAAGTTAGTAAACGTTTAACATTATATAATTAATCTAATTTGTTCAAATGATAGTAGAAAATAGAGACAAATGATAAAATAAAATGACTTTTTATAAGAGGATGAGATAAATGTAACAAATTATCTTCACAATGCAGCATGACAGTAGGTGGTTTAACAATGAGTTTTAGTAAAGTACACAATTTGGGCGGATCTCTCTTTGGCAGTTGTAAGTTTAGTTTACATTGAAGCAATTTAGCAAATTCTAGAATTATATATATATACAGTTCTAGAATATATATAATAGAATCCATCTAAATATACACCTAAACATGATTATAAATGAATTTTCATTCGTCTAAAGGACTTTACACATAAATTAAATGCTTTAAAAAGGAAAAAAAAGGGCAAAATGATTCCTTTTAAATTACCTTCTTAAGGAACTTTATTATAGTGAAACTTGTCTAAAACGGAACCTGAATAAACGTGTTTAAACATAAAATTTTCTTCAAAACAGATGATTTTCTATGTTAAAAAAAACCTGTTTAAAACGGAACCTGCTAAACTGAAAAATGTATTAAGTGCCATGCAATTCCAGTTTACGCAGGTTTTACTTTTTTTATGTATTTTAAGGATTTTCAAGCATATTTAACCTTTAAGGTGTATGAATCCGTGTAAGATGTATACGCATGAAGATAGCTGCAGATAGATTTGTGTTATTATTAAAGTGTAAAATATACAGTAAAACCTGCGTAAACCGGAATCGTACGATTAGGAAGGTTTCCGTTTCGAACAGTTTTTTTAAACATAAAATCATCTGTTCCAATGAATTTTTCCCGTTTAGACGGGTTTCCGTTTTATTCGAGTTCCGTTTTCCACAGATTTTTCCTATACTTTGAAAAAGGGAAAGAACTTTTCTTTTTAAGTTGTATTATTAAATAAATTTTAGGGATTTTTTTATTAATTTAATGTATATTCTTGCAGTTTATTCAGCACTCAATCTCTCCATTTAAATGTGTACCCAAACACGATTATGGATAGGTCTTCGTTACTTTAAAGTACTTTATACTTAAATTGCATGCATTAAGAAGAAAAAAGACAAAAAATGGGTCCCTCTAAATTAAGTTATGGAGCATTTTTTAAAGGTTTTTAAGTGTTTCAACAAAGATTTTGTAATTCATTCACGTACAGCTGTAGATGAATTTTACTTTTAAAAGCGGTTTTTACTTGAAATGAACTTACAAAACGGAAGAAATTTATAAAATTGTATTAGAATTCAGTAATTATAGTAAAACCTGTCCGAAACGGAACCTGAATAATAAGGAAATCTGTATAAACGGAAAAACTTCTTCGAAACAGAGCGATTTTCTATGTTAGAAAAAGAACCTGTTCGAAACAGATACCTGCCAAACAGAGAAAAATATGTGATTCCGGTTTAAACAGGTTTTACTATACATGCACCACCTTGCCAAGCCATCTTTTATTAGACATAGAGTAATAATTATAAAGAAATATATTATTATAAATTAAGATCGGGCAGATATTTGGGTTGAGTAATTGGCAGCGTATCTAAACAGTAAGCAGGAGTTACGGGTTCGAGTTCCGATCTTTAGTTTCATATTATTCTATAATTTATTTATAATTATTATATTTAACACAAGATGGCAGCCTGGCAGCACGCCTTCTGCCAAATTACTTAGTAATTATTTAGCTATAATAGCCCAATAAAAGAACTCAGATATAAGGTAAGTACTTTCTGCTATCAAAATTATACCAAAAAAATGGAGAAAAACAACAAATTTTCTGAAAATTAATTTACGGAATGTTATTATACATATATTTTATAATTTTAACTGTATTTTACCAAATAGTATAACGAACATTTAGCAGTTTACTCATAAACTTATCCATATGAATTGTCACCCTTGCAGCGCCAAATTTTCTCCTTATGGTGAAAATTTTAACTAATTTTTACTTCGTGAATCTCTTTCCCACGATCTGCAATGCATTGTGTACTGAGTTTCACTCGATCGAATCAGTGGGGCATGGCCCATGCGTGTCTGAATGCTTACAAAGAACGATAAAAGTCCTTTTAAAGTTGAATTAAATTAATTAATTAAGTAAATTTTAATAATTTTATAGAAAATAATTATTATATACTTATTTTTAATGTTTTAAAATATATTTTATCAAAGAGTTTTACAAACATACTTGCGGTTCACCCGGAAGACGATTGGTTTCTTCCTGCTCTAGTAACACTTCAACAGCTTCTACGTATTCTTCGCTGATGGCATGCAATAAAGCATCCTTCATCTCGACTTTATTTTCAATTAACAGCTCTATCATTTCTAAATTCTCATTATCTATGGCCATCAATAAAGCCGATCTTCCTATAGGATCCACGCAATTGACGTTGATGTATCCAGTTTCGTTGGCATTTTGCAGCATCCTAAAATATATATATATATATATATTTTTTTTTTTCAGATAAATATATAAAGTATTAACCGATATTTTCGTTAGAAATTGTATTTTTATTTTAAAATATTTTCAAAAGTGCCAATAAAGAAAAATATATCGATGTAAGAGTATCAACTTTCGAACATTTTCTATGGTTTCTGTTGTTCGAAAAAAGAAGAAAAAAAAAATATTGTAAAAGAAAAGTGAATAAAAATGTATATAATAAAATAAATTTATTTTTAAAATTATAAAAAACACTATTTATTACAAAATATATCGGTTAAAACTACAGTAAACAACGTCGTTTACGGTATAAAATTCATCAAAGTGTAAGAGATTTCGTGATAAAAATAAAAGAAATTTAATAATTTAAAAAATAAAAAGATTACAGAAACGAGTTGTGTAACTTTCCAGGCAAAAAAAAAGTTAAAATTATGTAGCGCCATCTGTTATTAAATTTTATTTTTAAAAAAACTTTTTATATTTTAATAAAATCTGAATAAAAAAATTTAAACAGAAAATAAATTCTTCGAAATGGATCTTTAAAAACCTGTCCAAAACGGAAATCTGTCAAACCAGAATAAATATTCCGTACCGGTGCCATTCCGGTTTACACAGGTTTTATTGTATTAATTATTATCAAGTGGCAAAATGCTTTAATTTTGAGGTTAGTGATGTGTTTTATAGGAAATTGTAAATGCTAATAACGAGTAAAGTCTTCGTTAAGTCCGATACCGCTCGAGATAAGACACGTCATTCCTTCTATCTACCCATCCCCTCGACCTTTAACCTTCAAAATTTAACCGAATTGATGCCCCTAATATACAAACCTCCCTGCAAAATTTCAGAAATTTTCAACAAAAGGGGAAGGAGTTATAATGCTTGAAAGTGGTAAACAATTCGTGCCTCAAATACTACATACAGAAAAAAACCCAGAAGTTCTTTGCATTTCTCGAGGTTTAAAGGTCTCCTGAGTCTAAAAATGTAAAAGTCTTTAGAGGGAGGTCATTTTTTGGTTATACTTTTCAACAATAAAACCTGTGTAAAGCGGAATGGCACGGTACCGAATACTTTTTCCGTTTTTAGCAGATTTTTTTAACGTAGAAAGTCGCTCTGTTTCGAAGGATTTTTCCCAGTTTAGGCACGTTTTTGTTTTATTCAAGTTCCGTCTTAAACAGGTTTTAATGTATAAAAGCCGGGAAAGTAAAAAACTAAATTATTTTAATTATTTAACGAAACTTTGTAAAATTAAATTTCTTTTTTTAAGTAGAAAAATATTAATTGGCACATTTTAGATTAATAATATGGGCGTATGTATGTAGTAACGTTGCCATATCTTTACTGTATATTCCAGTTACGTCACGAAGGAGGGCAAACTACAGTTTATTATCGTGTATCACGCTTACTAAACTGAAAAATAATCGATCTAATCTATTCATGCTGTTCTAATTCCCTTATTCTTCATAGAAATAAAACCTCTCTAAACTTGAAACACTTTCTTTCTTGTTTGTATAACTTATATGCATTAAAACCTGTCTAAAACGGACTTCTTACAAAACGGGAAACTACCTAAATGAAAGATCGCTATGAAAATACTATTATAAGTCGGAAACCCGTTTAAAACGGACACGAAAGACTTTATTTGGGAACCAATTGCATAAGTTAATACAAACAAAACCTTCCTTCAAATCTATATAATAGAACCTTTCCAACACTTAATGATACTCTGTAAAACGGAAAATTCTGGTAGGTATTGTCGCATTCCCGAGGTAATTCTCTATGGAATGGAACCTGGAAAATCCTCTATATAACAGAACCTTCTAAATCTTTCATAACTCTTTATAAAAAGGAAAACTCTGGCTGGTACCATTTCATTCACAATATAAACTTTTATAACACGAAACCTGATGAAACCTCTGTATTAAAAAAAACCTTCCACGCCCTCCATAATACTCTATATAGGCTACAAGAACTTTCCAAATTCTCTGTAACCCTCTATATAAAGAAACCTGACAAATTCTCTATATAATAAAACCTTCCAAACTCCATAACCTTCTATATAATAAAATCTTCCACGCTCTTCATAATCTTCTATATAGAAGAATCTTCCAAATCTTCTATAACCCCTATATAGAGAAACCTGACAAATCCTCTATATAATACAACCTTTCAAACACAATAATCCTCTATAGAAACCTCCATACCCCCTACAAAACGAAAAATTCTAACTGATATCGTCTTCACTCCCGCTACAACCTTCTATAAAACGAAACGGCAAACCTTCTATAAAAAAATAGAACCTTTCAGACACGCTGTAACCTGTATAAAGAAGATTTAAAAAAATTCAACACAGTCACATTCGTTGTTAAACGGGTTCTAATGTACTTTTCTCAATGATAAATAAATCAGCTTCCTACTTCTTTTACAAGAAGGGAAGGTTGGAAAAAAAAAAAACTTCATTTTATCTTTTAAAAATTGGTTTTTATCTTGAATAATGTTTTAATTTTGTAACCAGTTAAGTCAATTTTCAAACTTTGATTTCGAATTTATTATAAAAGAAAAAGAAAACTGAAATAAAATTAAAAAATGGAGTAGAAGTGATCAATCTTTAGAAACAGTAGGACGTCAGTGACTTTTTTAAAAATATTTTTTTCTTCCCTCCTTTAAATTCCTTTAAAAAAGTAAATATTTTTGAATTTTTTTGAAATTTCAGAATGTCTTTTTTATTTATTTAAATATATTTAGTTAGAATCAAATAAGTTATATTTAATATAATTTAAACAGCGCTTTGTCATATGACAATTAGTTTAATCGAGGAAACAGTTCATCGTACATGGTTCATGGTTGATGTTAGTAAATATGAACAATAAATAAACGTCATTTAGTAACTAAGCAAAATTCAAATTCCAAAATTTTGTTTCTGTTTGTTTTTTAAAACATGTTTTATTCAGTTGAATTTTGTTACTGGATATGTTTTATTTATTTTTATTTATTTGTATGCAGAAAGTTTAAGGATATGATCCTTTGTTTAAGTGCTTTATCCAAGTTGCTGGCACCCTAAATAATTACACCAGGTTTTCTTAGAAAACACATTGCACGTGCTTTCTAAAGTTCATATTGTATGTTCTTTCTGAAGGACACATTGCATTTGGTTCCCAAAGAATACATTGCATGTGGTTTCTATAGAACACATTGTGTATACTTTCTGAAGTTCATATTGCATGTTCTNATTTATTTAAATATAATTTATACTTTAATAATTAATATTAATGTTGAATTTAAACTGTTAAAAGTGACTAACGAGGTGGAAAGTGACGTGTCTTATTCACTTCTTCTTATAAAATAAATAAATAAATAATAATATTGATATAGAAAATTAACTTATTAATGACCCACATCGATTATAAAACATTAAAAAAATCGAATTTTAAAATGTTTAAATAATTTTCCCTCGATATAACGAATCAGAAGATAAAATTTTCCTCTATTGTGTTCAACGTAGAGATAAAGATTAAACTCGGTACATTAAGTCAAACCTCGATATATCGTCATCTAGCTAGCACTAAATCCAGTGTGTCCACTCAAAAAATCCCGGTTTTAATTGGGAATCGAACCCACGACAACGAGTTTAATGCTTTAATAATTAAACGATCGAAGAAAAAACATCACGGTTTTATTATAGAGAAACATTTAATTAAACATGGCAGCCGAGTATATAAACCGATACATTTAATTTAATTTATTTAAATATATTTAGTTAGAATCAAATAAGTTATATTTAATTAATTTAAACAGCGCTTTGTCATATGACAATTAGTTTAATCGAGGAAACAGTTCATCGTACATGGTTCATGGTTGATGTTAGTAAATATGAACAATAAATAAACGTCATTTAGTAACTAAGCAAAATTCAAATTCCAAAATTTTGTTTCTGTTTGTTTTTTAAAACATGTTTTATTCAGTTGAATTTTGTTACTGGATATGTTTTATTTATTTTTATTTATTTGTATGCAGAAAGTTTAAGGATATGATCCTTTGTTTAAGTGCTTTATCCAAGTTGCTGGCACCCTAAATAATTACACCAGATTTTCTTAGAAAACACATTGCACGTGCTTTCTAAAGTTCATATTGTATGTTCTTTCTGAAGAGCACGTTGCATTTGGTTCCCAAAGAATACATTGCATGTGGTTTCTATAGAACACATTGTGTATACTTTCTGAAGTTCATATTGCATGTTCTTTCTGAAGAACACATTGCATTTGGTTCCTAAAAAATGCGTTGCGTGTGGTTTCTATAGAACACATTGCATATACTTTCTAAAAGACACATTGTCTGTGCTTTCTAAAAGACACATTACATATGTTCTTTGCACAATATGAAACATTTTACAAATACAAAGATACAGAAATAATTTAAAATATAATTTTTATGAAATTTATTCAATTTCATTCACTTTTATATAGGCTATGGTCTTCAACGATATGATCCTTATTTTATGCTTTATCCATATTACTGGTATCACTAACAATTGCACCATAGCCTACTCTTAATTAGAAAACACATACGAAAACAATGCATTTGCAATTTCTTATATACACTCAAACCTACGAGAAACGGACACTTACGGAAACATTAAAAATGGCCGATGTTAGGAGATTACGTTGTTTTCAGGGCACTTTGTAGGTATTTCTGTTCAAAATGGAAATAAATGCTTTTGGAAATTTGACTGTATTTGGTTCAATTTCATAAATTCTACAGAGAAACTTCAAAGAACCGATCCTGGTTTAAGATCTTTAAATAGCAGGCATGTCAAGCGATTTCGTTGTATTATTCTCCAGAAAACAAGCGAGATAAACAATGCAAAAACAATTTAAAACAATTATAACCCAATTAAACAGTTATCAAAAGCAGAAAATGGCGTATTAAACATACATCAATCATAAACTTCGATCCATATCAAAGAGCTCGCTAACCTCATTTCTACAACG